GATGTGTGTGGCACAGTGCGTGCAAATCGAAAAACATATGCCCAGGTTGACGCTGGCACTCGTAGAGGTGAGGTGCAGGCGTTGCTGCCAATGACATCATGGCAAATTTTGGGGGCATGACAAACGAGATGTCACACTGTTGTCATCAATTCACCCTAATGAAATGGCAGACAGTGGCAGGCAGCATAGAGAGAGAAATGAACCCATTCTAAAACCTGCAGCTGTGATTGATTACACCTTCAACATGGGGTTCAGTGGACAAATGTGACATGCAGATTGGGTTTGGGTGATTGTTTTTCGCAAAGGTTATAAGTGGTACATCAAACTGTTTTCCATCTTTGGACATTTCCATGCTCAATGCTTTAATATGTTTAAAGATGAGCACCAGAAACAAACCACAGTACGGCGAATTCTGTTTGTCTGTCATCAGACAAATAGTATTCAAGTTACCAAGGAACAGCACCTGCAATTGACCGCCCACCAAATTTTCAACAAACTACCTGCTCGTCTGAAGCATGGTGATCACTTCCTGGTAAAACTGCCTGCTATGCTTGAAGAAAAAGGCTCAGAAGAGGTGGTTTCGTCTGTTCACATACAAAAAAACGCCCCCAACAACGCAGAGGGCACTCGTTTTATGTGTGAGGAGTGCAAAACTCCACTGTGCTGACACCATGTTTCAAAGAGTTCCACAGGCTGGCAGAACTTCTAGAAACATTCCCTGTGACTGTATATGTGTATATAAAATATAGAAAAATAGTAATAAACAACATTTCAATTTTTTTGTTTGTGTAAATATTTTCTGTAAACAAAATAATGACAACAGTGTTTATGCCCTTATTGTGTAGTATTGAAAAAGAAATAACTTACAAAATACTGATCTGCTGGCCTCAGAAAGGGCCCTAAAAGTTACTCAGAAAAAGAAAAATTGAAAAATAATTGAAAATAGTACATAAAAAGTAAATAGAAAAATACCGGTGACGGCAGTTTGGCAATGTTACCATATGTTGTTCAATTTTGGCAAATTTCACACCTCCATATCTCGGTAAGTATTGACGTTAAAATTTTTTTGTTTGGCCTATAATGTTTAGAAAAAAATACTCTATTTTTTCATAAGAAAAAATAATTTTTTTTTTTTTTTGAAATTTGGCCGACCCTGAGAACGAGTTTCGGAGAGGGCCTGTCGACCCTCAAAGGGTTAATGAAGCTCATTTCCGCAGAAAGTCACTCTGCCACGTCTGAAGGATGACCAGGAGCATTGTCTAATACCAGGAGGCACTTGAGGTCTAATTTCTTTTCAATTAGGTAATTTTTCACAGTGGGGGGCAAATGCATGGTGTAAACCAGTTCATAGAAAAAGTCCCTAGTGACCCATCCTTACTGTTTGCCCTCCACAGCACACACAAATTAGCCTTGAGGACATTGTTTTTCCTGAACACTCTGGGAGTTTCAGAGGGGATACACCAATAAAGGCTTCACTTTGCAATCACCACTAGCATTGGCACACATCAACAGAGTAAGCCTGTCTTTTATAGGCTTATGTCCTGGGGTGCCTTTCCTCCTGAGTAATGTAGGTCCTGCTTGGCATTGTCTTCCAAAACAGGCCTGTTTCGTCACAATTAAACACTTGTTCAGGGTTTTATCCTTTACTGTTTATGTACCCTTGATCCTGCACATATTTTTCAGGCCGCTTGTGGTCTGAACTGGCAGCCTCACCATTGCCTTGTCCACACTATGTATGCCACTATGATTCTTAAATCTCCCCAAACCAACCTTTGCGGGCCTTTAAATTTCACTCACAAACACCATAGTTGCAGGCATTTTTCTAATTAAATCGTCGTGCAACTTCCTAGCCTTTTCACATAAGATCGCTTGAGAGATGCTATCTCCTGCTATCTGTTTTTCATTTATCCACACCAATAGCAGTCTCTCAACATCTTCTATCACTTGCGATCTCTGTTTCGAAAACAAAGTTGCACCTTTGGCAAGAACAGCTTCCTTGATTGCCGTTTTCTTGGCCACAATAGTAGCGATGGTTGATTGGGGTTTTGTGTACAACCTGGCCAGCTTGGAGACACGCACTCCACTTTCATACTTTGCAATGATCTCCTTCTTCATATCCATAGTAATTCTCACCCTTTTTGCTGTATGGTTGGCACTAGAAGCTTTCTTGGGGCCCATGGTGACTTATTTTGCAGGTGCAATCACTAAAAAGGCTGTGATAATATGAAATGTTCCAATTGTATGCTTGGAAGCGACCACGGTGGCTGGCTTGTAAACACTGGCACCCACGGAACAAGTGAGGAAGGCTCAGGCCGCACGTGGACGCGTCTCGAATGAATCGCTTTGGTCTGGTTTTTTAGCGCTAGCCTAGGCAAAATTTTTGCGTTAAAATATATCGCTAGGCGGATTTAACGTTATGCGATGCGTTCATTAGGCGAGGGTCCACTGTATCAGCGCACTTTTGAAAGAATATTAGACTCACCAGTTGACGTGTATTAGACGCTTAGCATGATTTGTTTACTTTTGAACTTAGGTAAAAATCGAACATTTCTGCTACTTTGAGCTCAATTTCAAGGTACTTTTCATTGTAAAACCAGTCAAAATCATCTCAATTTCTGTAATATGCCTTCCATTCTATAAAATAAGACCAGGAAAACTAGAATACAACCATAAATACCATACGAAAATACAGTGCAAAGTCGCTGTTTTAATCCGAAAACACGGTCAAAGTTTTTTTCTCTCATTATGCACTGTGTACTGCAGGATTTTTTTTTTATACTGCACACACTATCACGAGCCTTTTCCATCCTATGGAGAGGGAGCATGGACACGGGGGTCGTCCCACAGTTACTAAAAACAACAGACATAGCCCCACTCCACAAAGGGGGCAGTAAAGCAACAGCAAAGAACTACAGACCAATAGCACTAACATCCCATATCATAAAAATCTTTGAAAGGGTCCTAAGAAGCAAGATCACCACGCATCTAGAAACCCATCAGTTACACAACCCAGGGCAACATGGGTTTAGAACAGGTCGCTCCTGTCTGTCTCAACTATTGGACCACTACGACAAGGTCCTAAATGCACTAGAAGACAAAAAGAATGCAGATGTAATATATACAGACTTTGCAAAAGCCTTCGACAAGTGTGACCATGGCGTAATAGCGCACAAAATGCGTGCTAAAGGAATAACAGGAAAAGTCGGTCGATGGATCTATAATTTCCTCACTAACAGAACACAGAGAGTAGTCGTCAACAGAGTAAAGTCCGAGGCAGCTACGGTGAAAAGCTCTGTTCCACAAGGCACAGTACTCGCTCCCATCTTGTTCCTCATTCTTATATCCGACATAGACAAGGATGTCAGCCACAGCACCGTGTCTTCCTTTGCAGATGACACCCGAATCTGCATGACAGTGTCTTCCATTGCAGACACTGCAAAGCTCCAGGCAGACATCAACCAAATCTTTCAGTGGGCTGCAGAAAACAATATGAAGTTCAACGATGAGAAATTTCAATTACTCAGATATGGTAAACATGAGGAAATTAAATCTTCATCAGAGTACAAAACAAATTCTGGCCACAAAATAGAGCGAAACACCAACGTCAAAGACCTGGGAGTGATCATGTCGGAGGATCTCACCTTCAAGGACCATAACATTGTATCAATCGCATCTGCTAGAAAAATGACAGGATGGATAATGAGAACCTTCAAAACTAGGGAGGCCAAGCCCATGATGACACTCTTCAGGTCACTTGTTCTATCTAGGCTGGAATATTGCTGCACACTAACAGCACCTTTCAAGCAGGTGAAATTGCCGACCTAGAAAATGTACAGAGAACTTTCACGGCGCGCATAATGGAGATAAAACACCTCAATTATTGGGAGCGCTTGAGGTTCCTAAACCTGTATTCCCTGGAACGCAGGAGGGAGAGATACATGATTATATACACCTGGAAAATCCTAGAGGGACTAGTACCGAACTTGCACACGAAAATCACTCACTACGAAAGCAAAAGACTTGGCAGACGATGCACAATCCCCCCAATGAAAAGCAGGGGTGTCACTAGCACGTTAAGAGACCATACAATAAGTGTCAGGGGCCCGAGACTGTTCAACTGCCTCCCAGCACACATAAGGGGGATTACCAACAGACCCCTGGCAGTCTTCAAGCTGGCACTGGACAAGCACCTAAAGTCAGTTCCGGATCAGCCGGGCTGTGGCTCGTACGTTGGTTTGCGTGCAGCCAGCAGCAACAGCCTGGTTGATCAGGCTCTGATCCACCAGGAGGCCTGGTTTCAGACCGGGCCGCGGGGGCGTTGACCCCCGGAACTCTCTCCAGGTAAACTCCAGGTAAACACACTAACCACATAGACTCATTCTTTCATATGTAAGCCTACAAGCTTTCTCTCACTAGATTTGAGGGCGCTAGAATTTAGGCGTACTAGAACGTCAGAAACCCCTGCGCGTAAGCCGTACTAGTACGGCTGAAACCCCGAAAGGGTTAAGTGACTAGTATTATTTCTCACGAGATGAATCTTACAAAAATTCCTTTTAAAAACAACAAAAACAAAAACATATGTGGTAATTGATGTCTTCATCTTACATATAAAGTAATGAAACATGTTTGGCATGGTGTAAGGGAAAGGGAATGACTGAATATGATAAGAAAGTCTTGTAACTAAATAGGTATAGGTAAACATTTTAGTGCTGTACAAAATTTCATCACAATATACAGTTAAGTTTTTGATGCTCTGCAGTCCTGTAAGATTTTTCTATGTCATTACAAGGATGTTACGGCAACCCCAGGTGTCTGGTTTAAGGGGTTAATAGAGTAATGATATATCTTAATTTTTCATTTGTTGGTGAAGATGTTAATGTTTTTTATTACTGTAGTTACTAGTGGATAGAGCTACTTCATGAGTTTCAACATCATGTGTTTGTATGTATGTACATTACAGTACATACAGTACTGTACTAGGCAGTTTTCTTCTTTGTCAGGTACGTAAGGAGAGAAGTGAGTTTATTAATGAATAGGCAAGTGCTTCTTCGAGGGAGAAAGCTTGACACATCATCATCTGTTGTGGCAGTCCAAGATGGGGGCCAAAAGCAGTACACCGACCTCTGCAGAGAGAGAAAAAAAGCCTGTGGAAGCTGGGTTGCCACCACAGATACTCACCTTACTTGACAGTCAGGCTAGATACATCAGGCAAAACCCCTTGTCAGAGGTTGATCTTGGTTTGGGACATGTACCCGAGACAACTGATGTTCCATCGACAATTTGTCAGGAGCGTATTAATGAAATTAAAAAAGAAAGTGATAAAGCTACTCCTCCAGGAGAGTTTGTTGGTAGAAGTGTGGAAATGGTTGCTGCTGCAACCAGCATTCCACGACAGACTGTTGCTGGTTACGCAGAAAAATGTGCTGCAGCTGCCCTTGCAAGACAGGCTCTTGCTTGTCATCTGGAGAGGAGTGTTACAACCACCATTCCACAGAAGACTGTTGCTAATTATTTGGAAAAAGATGACACGACCACTATTCCAAGACTGATAGCTGATGGATATGCGAATAAGGATATTCCCTCCATTCCACAGAAGACTGATGCTATAAATGTGACAGGTAATGATATGCAAGAGACATTTACTGGAAATGCAGACGGGAATAAAACGAACAGTAAACTGCAACAAGACTTTGCTAATGCTGGAAATTTTTTAGCTGAACCTATTATTTCAAGACAACAAGTAACTGAACTGAAATGTGAGGAAAGTGATGCAAGTCAAAATCAGTTAGATAGAGCAGTACTTCAGAATTTAGCTTGTCTATCTAAGGTGACAATGGCTGCTGGTGAGGTTGAGGTCACTGAAAATTTGCAGTGGGATGCCAGTAATTGGACAAGATGTGCTGAAAATATAAGTGAAAATAAAAGCAATGTAATTGAAAATAATATCCCAAAAGCTGAAAATTATAAGGGTTGTGATTCTGAGCCACAGCTGTTTACTAAAACACAATTGGACAGTACAGATTGTGTTAAAAATTTAGGAAATTCTGAAGATGAAAACACAGTAGTTACTATGGTATCAGAGCAGGATGTTCAGGCAGCAGAATGGGAAAAAATCTCTCAATTTTTAGAAAAAAATACCCATTATCCAAAGAAAGCCTCAGAAAATCAACTCAGTGACAAGATTCTTAAAGATGTTGCCACAGAACAAACACACACACATGAAGAAACTGGTATATGTACATGTAGTGCTGTGGGACCAGTGAGAGATGCTAGTGTCAAGATGAACGACAAGGACAGAAACGTGGCTGAATATAAACAACATAAAGGTTAGTATTACAATTTTGTATTGTTCTAGCATAATAATTAAAGGTAGATTATAAGTTTCAAATGTCCTGGGATATTTTAATTTAGGTGCAAAGTATTTGTATATTGAACCCAAGAAAGTATTAATTTGATAATTAGGTTTGTTGGGTAAAGTATTGTGTATCTAAATGGACCATGAAAATCCCAAAAAATACAGTTTTTTTTGAAATGTGTGAAGTCAATCCTGGCACAGTTGAAAAAATCAAAAAAAATGCTATTTGATGTGCTCTATTTTTAGCTAAATTTTTTGAAGAATGAGACACCCCTTTTTTCATTTGTTTAAATTTTACAATTTCAAAAATTTCTTTTTTTTATTTTCCCCAGTTTCATTTTTTAAAAAAAAAATTTGGGGGGAACAAGCACCCTTGATATTCATAAGAAAAATTTTTCCCAAAAAAGGTACATCCCCAAGGGTGTTTGAGATACATTTGTAACAAAAATTTTTTTAAAAAAATTTTAAATAGAATTTTTGATTATTTTTACTGTTATTAAAGTAGATTATGGGGGCATTTATTAAACCCTGTTTAATAATTTTCCCTTTGAAAAAAATAATTTTTTGCTTGGGTTAAATTTCCATTTTTTTAAGGCCCTGGATTGTGTTCACCAGAGGAAATGTTCATCAGATAGAAAAAATGATTTTGGGCCCTTAAAATGGTATTGATTATTTTTTTTTTTTTAACGCATCGGCCATTTTTCCCCCAAGGGAGAGTGGGCCGGGAAAAAGAAAAACTTTCATCATTAAATTCATTAATTTTCTTGCCCCGAGGCTTTGGGTTTTCCCACGTTATTAAAAACTGCAACATTAAAACCCCTCCTTCAGGTGCCAGCACTGCAATTCCCCTCTCCAGGAAACAAGTTTTGGTCTGCTGTTTCCCTGAATCCCTTCATTAAAAGTTGCCCCTTTCTTAAAGCTCCAATAGGACGTTCAAGTCCCAAAAAAACCAAATTTTTCTCCATTTGCTCCTATTTAAACACTCACGCACATTTGGGTGAAAGTCCAAGCCCCCCTCATACCCAAAAAAATTTTTTTAAACCCCTTGGGAGGCCTGGTCATGGGGCCCGGGCCGTGGGGGAAATTTTTCCCGGAATTTAAACCCCCGGTAACCCACCCCCCTCCAACTTTTTAAAGTTGTGTTAAATCTGCTGGAGGAAAAGCGGGAGTAGGGGTCAGCCTAGGAAAGGTTGGAGGGAGTGGGTTACCTGGAGGTTATTCCGGGGATCAATGCCCCCACGGCCCGGTCCATGACCAGGCCTCCCAATGGGTAAAGAAGGTTTTGTATGAGAGGGGCTTGGACTTTCAGCAAATGTGCGTGAGTGTGTTAAATAGGAGCAAATGGAGACAAATGGTTTTTAGGACTTGACGTCCTATTGGAGCGTAAGCAAGGCAACATTTATGAAGGGATTCAGGGAAATCAGCAGACCAGACTTGATTCCTGGAGATGGGAATTGCAGTGCTGGCACTCTGAAGGAGGGGTGTTAATGTTGCAGCTTTATAACTGTAGTGTAAGCCAGCCTCTGGCAAGACAGTGATGAAGTGAATGATGAAAGTTTTTCTTTTTCGGGCCACTCTGCCTTGGTGGGAAATGGCCGATGCGTTAATAAAAAAAAAATAATCAACTACCATGAGTAAGGCCTAATCATTTCTTCTATCTGATGAACACTTCCATCTGGTGAACACTATCCATGCTGAGGATAACCCAAGCAAAAAATTATAATTTTCAAAATGAAATTATTATATCATGGTTAAGTAAATGCCTCATAATCTACATATATACAGTAGTAAATGATCAACATTTCTATTTATATTTTTATAAGATTTAGTTACTGAATGTATCTCATACACCCTTGAGGATGTACCTACTTTGGCAATTTCTTATGAATATCTAGTGTGCTTGTTCCTACAAATTTGGTTTAAAATGAAACTGTGGAAAATAAAAAAAAGAAATATGTATTGTACAATTAACTATGATGAATGGTGTCTCATTCTTCAACAATTAGCTATAAATTAGAGCACATCTAATAGCATTTTTTTTGAGTTTTCAACTGTGCCAGGATTGACTTCACAGCATTTCTATAAAAACTGTAGTTTTGGATCTCATGGTCCATTTAGATACACAATACTTTACCCAACAAACCTAATTATCAAATTAATACTTTCTTGGGTTCAATATACAAATACTTTGCACCTAAATTAAAATATCCCAGGACATTTGAAACTTATAATCTACCTTTAATTATTATGCTAGAACAATACAAAATTGTAATACTAACCTTTATGTTGTTTATATTCAGCCACGTTTCTGTCCTTGTCGTTCATCTTGACACTAGGGATCTCTCACTGGTCCACAGCACTACATGTACATATACCCGTTTCTTCATTGTGTGTGTTTTTTCTGTGGCAAAATCTTTAAGAATCTTGTCACTGAGTTGATTTTCTGAGGCTTTCTTTGGATTAATGGGTATTTTTTTCTAAAAATTGAGAGAATTTTTTTCCCCTTCTGCTGCCTGAACATCCTGCCTGATACCATGTAACTACTGTGTTTTCATCTTCAGAATTTTTCCCAAATTTTTAACACAATCTGTAATGTCCAATTGTGTTTTAGTAAACAGCTGTGGCTCAGAATCACAACCCTTATAAAATTTTCAGCTTTTGGGTATTATTTTCAATTACATTGCTTTTATTTTCACTTATATTTTCAGCACATCTTGTCCAATTACTGGCATCCCACTGCAAATTTTCAGTGACCTCAACCTCACCAGCAGCCATTGTCACCTTAGATAGACAAGCTAAATTCTGAAGTATGCTCTATCTAACTGATTTTGACTTGCATATTTTTCCTCACATTTCAGTTCAGTTACTTGTTGTCTTGAAATAATAGGTTCAGCTAAAAAATTTCCAGCATTAGCAAAGTCTTGTTGCAGTTTACTGTTCGTTTTATTCCCGTCTGCATTTCCAGTAAATGTCTCTTGCATTTCATTACCTGTAAAATTTTATAGCATCAGTCTTCTGTGGAATGGAGGGAATATCCTTATTCGCATATCCATCAGCTATCAGTCTTGGAATAGTGGTCGTGTCATCTTTTTCCAAAAAATTTTAGAAAACGTCTTCTGTGGAATGGTGGTTGTAACACTCCTTCCAGATGAAAAGCAAGAGCCTGTCTTGCAAGGGCAGCTGCAGCAATTTTTCTGCGTAACCAGCAACAGTCTGTCGTGGAATGCTGGTTTCAGCAGCAACCATTTCCACCCCTTCTACCAACAAACTCTCCCGGAGGGGTAGCTTTATCACTTTCTTTTTTAATTTTATTAATACGCTCCTGACAAATTTGTCGATGGAACATCAGTGTCTCGGGTACATGTCCCAAACCAAGATCAACCTCTGAAAAAGGGGTTTTGCCCGATGTATTAGCCTGACTGTCAAGTAAGGTGAGTATCTGTGGTGGCAACCCCGCTTCCACAGGCTTTTTTTTCTCTCTTGCAGAGGTCGGTGTACTGCTTTTGGCCCCCCTCTTGGACTGCCACAACAGATGATGATGTGTCAAGCTTTCTCCCTCGAAGAAACACTTGCCTATTCATTAATAAATCACTTCTCTCCTTACGTACCTGAAAAAGAAGAAAACTGCCTAGTACAGTACTGTATGTACTGTAATGTACATACTACAAACACATGATGTTGAAAACTCATGAAGTAGCTCTATCCACTATAACTACAGTAATAAAAAAAATTAACATCTTCACCAACAAATGAAAAATTAAGTTTTATCATTACTCTATTAACCCCTTAAAAACCCGACAACCTGGGGTTGCCGTAACATCCTTGTAATGACATAGAAAAATCTTACAGGTGCGAGCATCAAAAACTTAACTGTATATTGTGATGAAAATTTTGTACAGCACTAAAATGTTTACCTATACCTATTTAGTTACAAGACTTTCTTATCATATTCAGTCATTCCCTTTCCCTTACACCTTGCCCAAAAATGTTTCATTACTTTATATGTAAGATGAAGACATCAATTACCACATATGTTTTTGTTTTTGTTGTTTTTAAAAGGAATTTTTGTAAGATTCATCTCGTGAGAAAATAATACTAGTCACTTAAACCCTTTCGGGGGTTTCAGCCGTACTAGTACGGCTTACGGCCCGGGGTTTTGACGTTTGTACGCCTAAAT